ACCCCAAAAAAAAAAAAAAAAAAAAAAAAAAAAGAAAATAGAAAAGACACTGGGATGCAGCTCAGTGTGAAGGCCCTGGGTTCAATGTCCAATTACACCCCCTACACACACAAAAGGAGAGGCCAAAAGAGATTTACCAACCTCCCTACCCCCCAAACTCAGGAAGGTCCACTCACCACCTCCACCTCCAAGCAGGGAGCTGTTGGCTGCAAGAGAGAGAGAAGCAGTCAGTAGGGAACTGTCCGGGGCAGGGCAGGCAGCGCGCTAAGGAGGGTCTTGGAGTGGCTGTCGGTTGCCCCCTTAGAGCAGGCCCGGAACCCCAGGTCCTCAGTCTCTGGTTACAGGGCCTCCTAGCCCCTCGAGCAGGGGCAGGTGACGGGGTGGGGGGGTTAGAGGGGCCGGGACTCTTCTCCCTTGATGCTCCTAGTGGCCTGAGGTTTGTAGGGCAGAGGGGAGCCATCAGGGAGGCAGCCGCCTGCGAGGTTTGGCTGGTGGAGGACACGCACTGTGCGTCCTTCTTTTGCCCCACAGCCTCAGAAGGTGTGGTGGGCGACCCTGAGGTGCAGTGGGGCCTGGCCCTGGGGAGGCATGGGGTACAGATGGCCTGATCCCTGACCTTGGGCTCACACCTCTACGACCACAGTGTGGACAGCGCTGCCAGGGGGAGCAGGAGCCGCGAGGACAGGAGCAGGAATGGGCTGCCTGGCAGGGACAGCCACAGGGTGCCAAGCCCGGGCCCAACACATTGTGCCTGGGGTGCCATCCCTTCTAGGGTCCGTGTGGCGGTGGAGGGAGAGGGCACCCCAGCTCTGGCCCCAGCCCCAGAGAGGGCCCTGACTCTGGCACAGAAGGCAGGTGGCGCCAGGCAGTGCTCCACTACCACTTTCCCGGGCAGCTCTGTGCCTCTCACTGTGCCCTGCAGGCCGCCTTTCCCACTTCCCAGGTGGCTGACGGCCTCGTCCACGGCCCTGCCCGGCCTCCCACTTCCGGTTCCAGCCTGTGACCCCGGCGAGCTCCTGGATCCACCAGGCAGGGTGTGGGCTGCAGCGGACCCGGAACTGCCCAGGTGGGCCTGGGGTCCGGGCTCCCAGGCTGGGTCTTCGGCTCCTCTCCCCTCCTGTAGGAGGGCTGTGCAGAAGCTGGGGACACTGCTAAGTGGTGTCGGGGGCTCCAGTGGCTGGTCTCCCAGACCTGACAGCTCTTCGCTTGGGGAATAATTAATTCCACAGCCCGAACACCCGGGGCTGCAAGTTGCCATGTTACTTGTGAGATTAATACAAGCAGCTAATTAAGATGGAGAGGCAAGGAGCGGCCTGGCGCTCCCTGAACGAGGTGGGGGCCGCAGGGAGGAGGGAGAAAGGGAGCTGAGCGCTGGGCAGGGGCGAGCAGGCTGAGTTGGAGGGGGCGGTGGATCCCAGGCTGGGCGGGGCTGGCTCTGCACGTGGTCTCTGCTTCCCACTGACCAAGGGCAGATTCAGGGCTTGGGGCAAATGGTCCCCCTCATCACAGCAAGGCCACCAGGGAGGGGCCTGTTGTTCCCTCTTCACAGAGAAGGACGCTGAGGCCCCGAGAGGCGGAGGCTCACAGTGGCAGTGGCAGGATCAGAACCAGATCTGTCTCACTCCCAAGCCAAGCCACAAAGAGGAGGGCTTGAGTGTGGCCCAAGGGACTGTGGTACAGCCCACCTAGGGCAGCAAGGGAGGAAGGGGGCGCCTCAGGCCCACAGCGCGTGGCTGTCGGAGCTGCCCTCCGCAGCCCTCCCTGCCTCCCCCAGCACCTCTCTCTCTTAATTAACACCGGCTGCAAACGAGAGCTGGCTCCACTCAGAGCGGGCTGAGCGCCAAATGGGTTGGGCGGGAGGGGAGGGGTGCTGACCCGCCATTCTGCAGGCCCCTGTCAGACAGGGGTGAGGCCCCGCCTGCCTGGCACCTCAGACCCCACTGTGTGTGGCCTTGCCGGGCACAGCAGGTTGGGTGAATTGCTCCAGTGCCCACCTGGCTATGGCCTGGGCGGGGTGGGCTGGTCCGATGGCTTCACCTGCCAAGGTGAGGGGAGCTCAGGACTGGCCTGCAGAGGACCTCTTCCCTACGGTCCTCCTCTCCTGGCCCCCTGGGAGCTCCTGGTGGCCAGACAGTGCCTCAGCTCACTCTGCTGGTCCCTGTCCTCTGCCCAGGGACTTTGACATCTAGCCGTACAGTGTCCCCAGTTGGGCCGGGCTGTCCCAGGGTAAGAGCCTGGGACCGAGGGGAGGACTGGGAAGGGGCAGCGACGCCAGCAGACACCAAGAGGCTGTCCCTGCAGGAAAAGGACAGCTCCAAGCAGCTCTGGGCTTTCCTGTCCCCAGGCCAGGGCTGCCCTAGCCCAACCCCTGCTCTGATTTGGGGCTCCATGGTCTTCCCTCCTGGTCCCCTCTCTCATGCCCTGTGGTGTGGCTGAAACTTAAAGCCAGGACTGGTTATCAGCCCTGTTCTTCAGATGCCCCCACCTGGCAGTGGGGACATGGGGTTGACCCAGAAGGGTTGGCTGTGGGATCCTGGCTGTACCAGTGAGTGGCCAAGTAAGGTAATGAGTCCAAGCACTGGGCCTGGAGTCCAAGCTGGGACTCATGACCCAGCCCTACTCCAGGGTCCCAGATCTTTTTGTTTTACCTTGTTACTTGGGCTGGCCCTGGACTCCTGGGCTCAAGCGATCCTCCTGCCTTGGCCTCCTGAGAGCAGGGACTATAGGTGACGAGTGTGTGCAGCCTTCAGACAGGGTCTATGAACTCTGTAGGGCCCTGTGAGCAGTGGGATCTGACTCTGGGGGCTGGGGAGAGGCTTGTGTCTCATGGGCTTGCATGGGGTGCAGGTTCCCAAGCGTGCCTGCCCTGGGGGCTGTCCCGGGCCTGCTTGCCAGCCCTACACCCTCTGGACTGCATGGGCTGGCTCGGACCCAGCACCCCTGTGACTTTGGGGTGCTCTGATGCCAGGCACTCCCAGTCCTCTTAGCCCCTGGGGCCCAGCCTCCTCCGTACTCTGCTGGTCCTTCCCCACCCCAACCCTGCTGTTCCTGCAGGGTCCCCAGCCCCATCCCCCTAGGGCTCAGGCAATGGCTGTCCCAGCAGGCTGATGGGCGGGGTGCAGTCTCCCCAGATTGTGCCCCAGCTCTGGCCTAGTTAGGCACTGGCAGGTGGCCACTGCCCAGGGAGTAGGAGAAAGCCAGACCCAAGTGCTTGGCAACTGTCACTAAAGGTCAGAGGTGGCCTAGGGATAAAGGTGGCACCGGCCGCTGCCTCACGCTCTACACGAAATTCTGAGTCCAGTGCCCACTCTGTGCAGGGCTGTGCAGGGCACCTGCGCACGGGCATGAATGCACCTGTCTGGGGCCTTGGGGCCTGAGCTCCATGCCGGCAAGGTGGCTCTGAGCGGGGCTCCAGGAAAGGCCAAGGTGGCACTGCGTGGCACGGCAACAGCAGCGGGCAACGGCCTGAGGAGGCTCAGCATTTCCCCCAACAGCATGAAGAGTCACGAGGTTGGGGTTTAGGATGGGGCAGGAAAAGAGGGGCAGAGACATATACTCGCTTCTTCCTCCTCCTGGTGCCCCAGCCGGCTCCCCTCCTGCTCTGTCAGGGAAACCATCCCTGAAAGAAGCCACTGGGCATGGCGGTGACCCCTGTAATCTCAGCACTTTGGGAGGCTGAGGCAAGAGGATGGCAAATTTGAGCCCAGCCCAGGCGACCTAGCAGCTTAGGGAGCTCTTGCTGCAAAATAATAAAGAGAGCTGGGTGTAGCTCAGTCGCAGAGCCCTTCCGAGCACTGTGAGCTCCTGGGTTCAGTCCCCGGTACTAGAAGAGAAAAGAAAAAAAAGCAATTTCTTTTCACATCAGAGGAGAAAAGTAAACCTCTTGGTCAAAAGAAGTATTTAAAAATATTATATTAATATATTTGTCTTTATACCCAAAGTCATACAATGTCACTTTCAGCAGTCTGCGGAGCAGGGGCCACTGCCACGAGGCCTGGCCCAGGCTGGCCCTGAGCAACCCCGGCACGGCCTGTGGGAGGATGGGACCTAACTAATTTACTCCAGCTGCAACTCGTCTGGCTGGGGTGGGGCTCAGCTCACCTCGCACACACCAGGCTCTGATTGATCCCCGGAACCACAAGTAGTAACAACAACAACAACAACAACAACAACAATAATTACAACTGTCCCCATCTGGCAGTGGCCCTCAGTGGCAAATAAACAACCCCTTTTCTTTTCTCTCAGGGTAAGAAATGGCTCCCTAAATGCTCTGGGCCCCACAGGTCCAAAATAGTATCACCTCATCTCTTTCTCCTCTTTCTCTGTCCCTCCTTGGGCCACACTCCAGGTGCTCAAGCCTGCTCCACTTCCTCCAGCCCCAGGACCTTTGCATGGGCTGGTGCCTCGGCCTAGAAGAGACCCATTCTCGCCCAGGAGTCAGCCCTGAGTGGGATGTTCACCTGCCTGGGGGTACAGCAGGTCCCTGCCACACCTGTGGGGCATCCCGCTGCCCAGGGAAGTGGCTGTCTGGATAAACACTCCTCACACCTTGTAAATCCCATTCACAGCTGGCAGTATAGTCTGGGGCATAGCTGGTGCCCAGCACCCATTTACTAAGAGCACCAACAGGTTCCAGATTGTCCCCAACTCTCGCACCTGGGCTCTCCACCGCCCAGACCTGGCCCCAGGAGCAGAACCTAAGGTGGGGGGCATCCCTGTTGGGGGCAGGGGCTGTCAAGGGCAGTGGCAGGAGGCCCAGTGCCTCCCTCCCCACTGGGGGAGCTGCCTGGCTCTTCCCTGACAGGAAGTAAATCCTGCAGGTCAGAGAGGACAGGCAGCGAGCAGTGACCCGGGGAAAGCGCTGAGAATGCGGGCAGAGCGGTGACTTTGGGCGGGCACAGCCCCTGTGTGCTCCGGACGCTTCGGCTTCACAGCTCTGTCTGCAGCGCACACGCCTCCGCCTGGCCTTGCCGCTGCAGCAGCTGCAGCCAGGCGCGGGAGTGGCACCTGCTCTCCCTCCAGGGGCCCCAGCTCCCCCACCTGCTTCCTCAGCTCCCTATCAACAGACAAACCTGCGCCTCACCCCTCCTAGGTGTGGGGTGCTGGATGCAGACTGCCGGGCCCTGCTGTACAGGACTCATGCCATCAAAGACAAAGAGCAGCACAAGTATAAACTTGAACCAGAATCCCTTAGTGCCTGAGGTGGTGCAGGAAATCAAAGAGGAGAGAGGAGGTGGGCAGGTGGGGGCTGATCTCAAAGAAGTAGACAAAGACCTGCTGATAGAGGGAGCCAGCCTGGAAAAGCAGTGCCAGGTGGCCAGGTAGGGAACAGCCGTGCAAAGGCCCTGAGGCGAGGAGAGGCATAGTGAGGGACCCTGAGGGAGAGGCAGGGTGAAGAGGGAAGAGTGCTATGGGGGCAGGGGCAACCCATGGGGGCCTTGCGAGGTTTTGGGAGAAATGGAGCCAAAGTGGCTTCAACAGAGGCAGGACAGAGGTCAGACTGAGCGGGCTGCGTGGCAGGAGGAGCCCGTCCTGCTGAGTCCCACTGGTCATCACCAACCCGGAGGCCGACACCCGCAGGAGCTCCGTGACTATGGACTGTTCCCTGTTCTGCTGCCACTGCCGCGTGGACTGGTGGCCCCGCCTCTTGGGGTAGAGAGGCTGGGTTATGCCTCCCCGCTCCTGGCAGCAGCGGCAGGACCTGGCCTCCCTGAGGCCGAGCCAGCCATGTAAAGCACGGTGTAGATGAGAAACACCCACAGACAGATACAACGTGAAATGTGCTGAAATCCAAAGACAAAACGAGACAGTTCAAAGTCACCTCAAACTGGGAGAGCAGTTGCTGTGTTAGACAAGCTCTGGGCCCGCAGGCCAAGATCATTGTCCTCAGAGGGGACGCTGCTCAGGGGGAAACCTGAGGCTTGCTGGGTGCTCCTGAGCTGGGGAGGGACAGGAAAAGGGGAGCAGGGACCCTTGTGGGCATGGGCCACACTGTTACAGCACCGAGTGCATCCCCAGCAAGCTTGGACACAGGACTCGGGTGATCATCTTAACACATCCAGGCACCTGCTCGTGCCCGCTTACAGAAGGGGCAGCGAGGCCCAGAGAGGAAAAGTGACTTGCGCCCCGCAGGCCTTAGCATTAGGAATCAGAGTCCTTGCTCCTTGCTAGGCTTGGTCCTAAAATCCCGGCTGTGATGGTGGCTGGTGGCTCTACTTCCTGGGGGCTCAGTTTCCTCATCTGGGACTGGGGCATCATTTCTCAGAGGCCTCTGTGTGACCATAACCCTTAAAGATGGCTGCAGAGGGCCAGGGATTTAGCTCAGTGGTTCTGCCACCTGCCTTGAAAGTGCCAGGTCCCAGGTTCGATTCCTGGTGCCAAATAAATAAACAAATGGTGCCTATAAAACTGTGACAGTTACAGAGGGTCTGTCTTGGTCCGTTGCTGCTTGCTATAACAAAATCGCAAGGCTGGGTCACTTATGAAGAATGGAACTGTATTTAGCTCATGGTTCCTAGGGTAGCATCGCACCCTAGGGCACTTCATGGCCAGCACGGCCAGCCTAGGTCTTGCTTCCTCTTCTCAGCCTAATGTTGCTAGGGGCTCCACCCTGCTGGCTGCAGCGACCCTTCCTAAAGAGCCACCTCCAAATACTAACAAGCCTGCAAATCTGTGGATTAAATTTCCAACACGGGTGCTGTCAGGGGGCACCCTGGAAGCCCTGCAGGGCTGAGGAAGGGGTGGGGCTTGGGGCCCTGCCTGCTCAGCCCAGGGAGAAGGGTAGGGCCAGCCCGCACACCCTGGAAAAGCAACAACCCAGCGGCTTCTCCAGCAGTCTTGTTCACCAGCCTCCTGGGGGATGGTCTGGGGACCCTGTTGGATCCATTTTACAGATGGGGAAATGGCTTCTCTCACCACTGCACACCCTGGGACTCCCCACTGCCACCCACCCGGGCCAACCTGCTCTGCAGACCCCGTAGTCCACCCGCCCACCCCATGCCACTCCCTAAGGACCTGCCTAGTCAGCCACTTAAAGCTCCAAGTAGGTGACTTGGCTGCAGGTCCCACAGGTGGGGGAAGCTCTGTGGTCCCCTTTCCTCCCACAGCCCCGGTGACCCTGCCTCCCGGCCAGCAGCCTCCAAGCCGGACTCTGACCTTCGGGCAACACAGGACCCCTCACACCCACTCTCCAGTCCCTGTCCCAAGGCACCATCCACATCCTGGCGTTTTGTTATGCAAGAGATTCGTGCTCACTGCCTGAACGGGGTGATGCACATAGACCGCAAGGGAAAAGTGAGTCACCCGCCAGCGCCCCCGGCAGATTTGGCTGTCCCCATGACTGTCCCTGGAGGACCTCCGAGACTGTCAGCGAAACCCCAGTCACCGAGGCATTTGTAAAGCAAATTCTCCGGCCCCGGACTGAGCCGAATGCTTGTGGGACTCCTTTCTTTCCACCTTCCTGCAAGGGCCCAGAGCGGGCTCTTTTGCCTGGCCTTTTGCGGCTTCACAGGTTCAGGGAGGGCCAATGACTGGCCCGAGGTCACGCAGCTGGGAAGCTCGCTGGAGCCGGGTTTGAATCAGGGGCTGTCTTGCAAGGGGCCTCCCCTCCCCGAGCCGGGGTAGCGCTCGGCAGCCCACCATTAGCACAGCCACAAGCATCCCTGAAATCCAATTACCAGGAGATGGCTTGGGCCCCAGCCAGCCGGTCGGTGTCGTCTCCCTTCTCGAGGATGAAGGGCTGGGCCCAGGCGGCCCTGGTGGGGGGCATGGAGGGGCCTGGGGAAGATGCGGGGCCGGCGAAGGGCTCCATCCAGAGCTCTCGGGGTTGGGGGGGTCGTGAAGGCAGCCCTGACCTCTCTGCTCACCACCAGCAGACAGGCCCAGTTGTCCCCAAGGAAGAGCCACAGGTTCCTCTGTCCCCAGCCTGCTGGGTGACCCTGGGCTTCTCTGGCTTCAGCCTTCTTCCGAAAGGAGAAAACCAGGGACCGTTTGAGCAGAACACACACCGCATGGAGGGCGGGCCTGCTCGGAAAGCTGCAGACCTGGTCCCATTTCTCACACCACGGTCCCCACCCTTTGGGGCCCAGCTACTGTCCCCCAGCTCTGAAGCTCCCCATCTGCCCTCGCTCCACACCACCCTCTCCCAGGAGCTCAAGGATGCAGGCACAGCTGCTGCGGCCCCCAAGAGCTCGTGTGTGGGAAGCTTAACCCTCAAATTCACATGTCCATGGTGCCCGTGGGGGTGACTGTGGGAGGTGACTGGAGTTAGGAGGGGCCGTGAGGTTGGAGTCCCCAGGCCCGCACCAGCAGCTGCCTGACCAGAGGGGCAAACCCTAAACTGGCACCTTGCTGGTCTTCCCACAACGTGCTCCCCAACGCCACGTTTTGATGCAGCAAGGAGGACTCATTGCCGAAGCCCCGGCACTGGGAGCGGAGCGGTCTCTACTTTATAAACAATTCCCCATCTGGGGTATTCAGTCACATCCACAGGAGCCCGCCCAGCCCAGCCTAACACACACCACACACAGTCACGCCCGTCCTGAGGCGCCACACCCCCCAAACAAGGTCCCTGAGGCCCGAGCGGGTATACGCAGGGAGGCTGGTGCCGGCAGCCCTGCCCTGCTGCCAAATGTCCCCTCGCTACACGGCCCTGCCAGCCCCCCCAGACATATGCCCCTCTTTGTCTCTCACAAACAACAGGAGCCGCATCTTCGAGTGTTCTGCGCGCACATGTGCCAGAATCTCTGGGAGTGGGGCTGCAGGCTTGTGGGATATGCACATCTTTGCTACTTATTGCCAAATTGCTCTCCAAAGTGGTTGTTCAGATGAGCGTTTTAAAATATAAATTAGATCATGTCACTTCCCTGCTTAAAACTCTCAAATAGCTTTCTATTATACTTAGAATAAAATCCATATTCCCCTCCATGAATGCACAGCTATATCTCACATCCCACTTCCCCACAATTTGCTGGCCTCCTTTTATTTAATAGGTTTAGCTCTACTGTGCCCCAGGACCTTTGCACATACAGCTCCTAGTTTCACATACTCTTCTGGCTCTTTTCAAACTGGCCTCTCTTTTTTTTTTTTGTACTGGGAATAGAACTCAGGGCCTCATGCTTGTCAGGCCGAAACTGGTCTCTTATCTTTCAGATCTCAACAAAAATGTCATCTTCTCTGAGGATTTCCACTCTGACCACCCAGTTAAAGTCCCCCCCCACTTTCTCAGTACTAGGGATGGAACCCAGTGCCTCGCTCAAGCTAAGCAAGTGCTCTACCACTGAGTTACATCAGCCTTTTTAAATTTTAAAATTTTGAGCCAGGCGTGGTGGTACATGCCTGTAATCCCAGCACGTGGGAGGTTAAGGCAGAAGATTGTCACAGCTATCAAGGCCAACCTGAAGTACATAGAGAGACCCTATCTCAAAATAAAGGGTCAGAGATCTAGCTCAGTGGTGTCGTGCCTACTTCCCAAGCACAAGGTCCTGAGTTTGATTCCCAGTACTGAACAATAAATAAATGTATGTTGAGACATGGTCTTGCTAAATTGCCCAGGCTGGCCTTGAACTTATCATCTTCCTGCTTCAGCCTCCCAAGTAGCTAGGATTACAGGGGTGGACCGCACGCCATGCCTCTTACCCCCTGTTTACTTCCTTTGGAGCCCACACCATGGCCCCACGACAACCTCCTCTCATTGGCTGCTGGTTTCTTAGCAGCCTGGCGGCCTGTGGCAGGGGGGACTCACCCGCCTGGATGAGGTTCACTCCTGATCCCCAAGGGCACCACAGGATGGAACCATTGGGCTGTTCCTAGGACTGTGTATGGCTTCTGCCATCATCCAGAGCAGGGAGGGTGAGCTGTGGGCGAGAGGGCTGCGCAGAGAGGCCGGGCCACACTGAGAACAGAGGGTGCACAGGCCCACGGGGAGCCAGGGCGGGTGCTAGAGCTGGGGGCCAGCTGGGTTGGGCTCAAATTTTAGAAAGGTCCTGTTCACACTCCAGAGAGAGAGGAGCCTGGGCGGGGTGGGTTGGGGTGCAGAGGACAGACAGAGGGATGGGAAGATGGGCCCACAGGGACCAATTAGGGGAGTGTGCAGACAGGATGGGTCAGAGGTGGGGTTTGCTCTCAAGCTGGTTGGGGTCAGGGAAGTGGCAGTCGTCTGTCTGCTGCCCCCACAACCTCCGGTCCTCTTTAAGGGGCAGGAGGGGATCAGGGTGCCACCTGTGCTGGAGTCCCCTTAGTTTCTGGGGCCACAGCCTCCAACCCCGGTGACAGCTTCTGCAGACATGGCAGAGGTGTACACACCTGGGAGGGGGGCGAGCAGGCCCCCTTCACTTGGCCCAGCCCGTTCATGCAGCTGGGAAACAGAAGACATCCTCACCCACTGCTGCTTCTGGGGACAGATGACACTCCTGCCCCCTCCTAAGTGTCGCAGAAACGAGGCAGGGACCACTGCGGCACTGGGGATTTAAATCCAGACCAAGGACTTCCTCTGCCATGGAAAGCTTTGTGGGGCGCCGACCGTCTCCTCTGGGGAGCTGGTTGCAGGTCACCCTTGGGACGCCAGCTCTCTCCTCCGGGGGGATAGCTCAGCCAGGAGCGGGCAGCTGCTCAGCCTTATATCTAACACTACTGCTCCTCTTAACAGTGTGCCCAGAAGCCCTGGAGCCAAGGGTGCCCCTGCCCTGCCTGCCTGAGGTGGGCATCCCCCCCCCCAGGTGGGTGTGAGAGAGGAGCCCAGCCCGGCCCTGCCCGGCCCCTCGGACCCTTCCGCCGGAGTGAGTGCCTTCCGGACAGGCGGTCCTCCCAGCTTGGGCTCCAGGCGTGGACCAGGCAGGAGGGAGTACGGAGATGGAAGGCGGAGGCCCGGTTACTGATGAAATAAAATCACCAACAGCTATATTGCCAGTGCAGTAGGAGCAGTCTACATGGACAAGTAGTGCTCATTTAAGGATGCACCCGCTTCCCCGCCCCCGTCCCCGGGCTCCTCCTGGCCTCAGCCTCAGCAGATTCCCAGCTAGGAACCTGCCAGGCCTGGCTGCCCAGGGCACCTGTGCCTGGCAGGTGAGGGCCTTGGGCCGACTCCGCCCCACCCGATCCCCGGACCAAAGCTCTGTCCCGAAGGACCTGGGGAGGAGGACCCCAGGCTCACCGAATCCTTTCTCCTCGTTACTATCCTGGCTGGGTGGGGCACCAGCTCTGTTGTCTCCCATCCCTGGGACTGGACTCTGGGATCAGAGCATCCATCCTCAGACTCCCATCCCCCCCCCACACACTGTCTTCAGTGGTTTCACTCTCCTGAGGTGCTGGAGTCCCCTGAGGGGACAGAGAGGGCCCAGGAGGGCCCAGGAACTGCACGCTTTCTGCCTCAGTGGCATCTGTCAGCCCCTGGCTGCAGGACCCTGTTCTGGCGGGTTGAGCTGGGTGCTGGGATCGGCAGGGGGTATAAAGATCCCTGGGCTGTGGGGGATCAGGCAGTCTGGGGCAGGGGCAGGGACAGAGAGGGAGGAGATGCAGAGGACACAGTTCAGAGGCTGTGGCTGCCGGAGCAGGAGGAGGTATGGCAGTGGCAGGGCCCTGATGGAGGCCTCTGGGCCTCTCTGGTGACCAGGCACACCGACACTCCCTTCCCCGTCTGTCTGTTGGACGGTCACAGGGACCCCGGGCTCTCCTGCCCCTCCCCACGGCAGCCCCTTCCTCTCCGTCTTCTGCACTGAGCAGAAGGCCCTCAGCCACAGCTGCTCACTGTCCAGCCCCCTATGCCCGTGCCCGAAATGCCGCCCCTCTGCGTGGGCACAACGCACATCTCCGTCCTGACTCAGACATGTGTACCAGGTGTGACAGGTGACCGACGGCCCGGCCCAGGGTGCTTAAATCACCATAAAGAGCACAGCTGGCTGGGGAGGGAGCGGCCGCCCTCGGTATCTGGCGGACCTGCGTCGTGTGTCGGGGGTGAAGTCACTGGAGACAGAGGAGGCTCCCGTGGGGAAGGAGGAGCCCATCAGGGAGGCTGGGGCCAGCAGCCCTAATCATGCTGGGTTGCTGTGGAGCTCTAGCCCTGGCCCGGGCCCCTCCCTCTACCCAGTTCTGGGTTCTGACCCTCTCTGGAATCTTCTCTCCACCCGCTCCCCCAGGATCTGTCCGCATCTCTGCTCACGTCAAAACCCCCGTCCACTCTTTGGTGCCGGAAGAGTGTCCGCCCCACTCTGAATCCTACCCTGAGCCGTCATGGAGGACATCTCCAGGGCTCTGTGTCATGCCGGCCTCGGGACAGCCTGGTCACTGTGGCCTCGCAGGGCTCTCTCAGCCTGACGCTCCCTCGTCTCATTCACGCATTCTTCACTCTTTTATGTTTTATTGTGTTGGACTGGGGCTCGCATTCATGACAGTGGGCTTGCAAGGCAGAGGTGGAACCACCGAGCTAAAGCCACGGCCCTTCCCCTTACACCGGACCGCTCTCCTGAGGGCTGGGCGCGGCGGCAGGTGTGACCGAAGAGGTCCCGGCTGGGCCTTCCAGATGCTCACAGTCTGGCGGAAGAGACGGTCGCTAACAGGACACACACCAGTGAGTCCCACTCCCCAAGTCACTAATATTCTATGTGTGACTAAGGAGAGAGACACCCAGCCGATGAAACCTTCAGCTGTTCAGCCGCCGAAACGCTAGTCAGAAGTCATGAGTGGTCAGGAAATCGAGCTAAGTGCCGCCACCAAGGAGCACAAAGGGAGCAGAGAGAACAGGTGACTTGGTATCTGGGCATCTGGCCCCTTCAGCACGTTCTCAAGGTCCTGTGGTGGTAGTGTTTGGAGAAGAGGCCTTGGAGTTAGTTAGGGGTCCATGGGGCCACCAGGGTGGCCCTCAGGACAGCTCTAGTGGTGTGTGTGTGTGTGTGTGTGTGTGTGTGTGTGTGTGGATGGACCCCGGGCCCCTGTGCATGCAGGACAAGCTCTCACCACTGGGCTCCAGCCCAGCCCCGACGTTAGTAGTTTTCTGAGGAAGGAAAGAGGCTCACAGAAGCACCGTTGCTCTGTCTCGCCACGAGACACCCTGTATTTCCTTGGGACTCTGCAGATTCCCCACCAGCAGGATGTCCCTGACCAGATGGCACCTGTCAGTGCTGGACCTCCAGGTGAGTGAACCTCCATTCTTTAGAAATTCTCCAGTCTGTGCCTTCAGTTGTAATAAAGATAACAGACGAAGAGACCTAATCAAAATAGGACCGCTGAGTCCTGGCTGGAGCTTGAGTAGGGGCTCATTAGGCCTGCAGCAGCAAAGTTGCTGGCCTCGTCCTACCTGGCCTTGTCCCTTTGTGCCCGCTCCTGGGGGCACCCTCTCTGGGCCCTCTTCCTGGACGGGGGGGGGGTCTTGCGCTCTGACTGTCCCTGAGATTCTGCCCTGGCACCTACCTGCCCTCCTAGACTGACCCTATTCTACAGAGCGAAGCTCCAGCCTTTTGTGTGGCATGGGCAGGAGGGTGTAGTGCAGAATGGCAGGAGGCGGATCACGGTGGAGTTAGGACTTGGATCAGAGGAGCTGCTGGAAGTTCTAGAGGTGGCTGGTATGATGGTTGGGTGTCCCTGAAGCAGTGAGCACAGCCACCCATGGGAGCCAGGGGCTGGGGTGAGTGGGCCAGCTGTTCAGTGACTGCAATCTCTGCCACCCAAGGTACCCTGGGGACCCTGAAGGCAGTGACCTCCAGGACAAGGTGAGGACAGGAAGTCCTCCGTGAGGCTCTCTGTCTTTGGGTGAAGGCTAGGAGTGCACCTGGCCCCGGAGATGCTGTACTCCGGGCTACAGGCTGTGACCTCAGAACATCTGCTCACTGTCCTCCTCTTGGTCCCACCCTGCCTACTGTCCCAGGATGGCTTCATGCCAGATACCTAGCACACCGGGACTAGGGGTGACACCCACTGACCATGCACTGAGGGAGCCCCGTCCTTCCCTGGAGTCAGGTCACCTGCTTCTTCTTCCCTGGCCCCTGGCCCAGAACAGACCCAAGCGAGGCCAGGAGAGGCGCAAGCTTGGCTGGCAGTAGTGTAACACGGGTGAGTCAAGATGTCACATCTCTGCACAATGCACAAAGCACCTTCCCCTGGGGGCCTCATTGGAGGGTCACACTAGTCCCTGGGGGTCTGTGATGACCGTTATCATAAGAAGATGGGGTGCAGCAGGGCAACGGTAAGGAGGTGAGACCTGGAGAGGGTAGGTGGGTGGGCAGCAAGCAAAGGCATTATGGGCAGGGCCAGAGTGACCTTGGCTGTCCTGTGGCAGGTGTCCGGCACTGAGCTGCTGGATACTGCATGGCTTATTGCTGTCCTGGGAGCTGGGGAGCTGGGGCTTGGCGTACTCAAGGTTGAAGCCACAAATTGTTGTTGGGTGACTTGTGCTGCCCTTGTTCCTGTGAGGATTGCCACAAGGCCTAGCTTGCAAGACTAATTTTGTCCTTCTGGGTCAAGGCCCCAACATTTTCACCAATGATTCATGTCCTCATGAAGCCCACAGAGCCCAGGGTTCAGTGTTTGTTGACTGAATAAGTGATCTTTCTGAATCGTATAGCTGAGTATTGTGCTTTTGAAATTACACTCTCACTGGAGCCCCCCTCCTCCCAGAATGAAGCCCAGACTGCCCAGGCTTGTCTAAACCCTGCTCACCTGGCCGCCCAACAGATATTGGCCATCTCATCTCTCCACATGGTCAACTTGACTCTAATCTCCAGCTCCAACCAAGAATTCCTGATCATTAACACCAGGCTCTTTCCTATGAGCTGTGAGCTGTTCTTGCTGGTTGCCTGGAACCTTCCTCTTTACCCTCCAAGACCTAGGTAAGAGCTGCTCCTCCTGGAAAGCTGTCCTGCATTGTCCCAGACGACTGGTCCTGTGCCACCTGAGGGTCACCTGACAATGCCCATTTCTAAATCCTCTTAGAAGCCTGGCATTCCAGCTTTGCCAGGTAAGGCCCAGCAGGGGTTAGATTCACTCTTGACCCCTCATCCCCAAAATAGTCCCCACCCCCTGGGGACTTCCATCCATCTCCCCTGAGCCTTATGCAGCCACCAGGCGTGGCTGAGCGAGGCATGCTGCATCAGCTTGATGGAATATCATGCAGCCATTAAAACCGTAATTATGAAGTTGATATTTTGACATCTGAGTGGGACATGCCAAACAGCTATCTCTGCGCCATCCACTCGACTACAGGGCTCTGAGTGCCCGCTCCGCTCCAGCTCTGTGCTTGGCATGGGGCAGCAGGGATGGAAAAGGGAGGGTTCAGTTCCAAAGAGCAGGAAGTCATGCACAGAACTCCAGAGACACATGCTAAGTGACGCAATGGAGGAATGACGGAGCCCCAGGGCCCCACGTCCATCAGGTCTGCGGAGCCGGAACGGAAGCCACAGCTCTGTGGAAATTACAGCTGGCTTTGCATGGACAAGCCTGGAAGAGAGCAGGGGAACGGGGGCGGGGCGGTGTTGATGCCACAGGGCGGTGGCATTGTGGGTGATTTTTCCTTCTTTTATTGTTGGTATAATACTGTTTGGGCAATAAATAAAAATTGGGAGGAAAAAAAAATAGCTGTTTGGTGAATTGAGTAGAAATCCGGAGACAGAAGAAGGGAGTTATGGGAGGAGATGGGAATGGAGCAGGGAAGAGGGAAAGCAGCAAGGGCCCAGGCAGGGGTGCTCCAAGTGGGGGCTGGAAATGGAAGCCTCAGGCAAGGCCCCAGTCTGCTCCCAGCTGGGGGCAAGAATAGCAGGAGAACAGAGAAGGGGCAGAGAGGGACTAGTGTCACCCTCTCCCAGGGGATCTGGGGAGGTGTCCTGGAGGCCTTGAAGAACAGCGCAGAGGGTTGGACAGCGGTGGTGGTGGCAGTCCCAGCCCGACTGTGGAGCCTGCAGGTGGACCTGGGAGCGGTGAAGGCCTGGTGGTGGCTCTGGGCAGAGCTAGGGACTTACTCAGAGCAGCCCTCTGGAGAAAGGGAGGCAGGAGGGGATGACGGAGCATGACAGCGTAACACAGGGGACAAGATCTGACCAGGTTAGTTGAGGCCGGGGTGCCTGGAGAGCTCCTTAGTGTCCAAAGCATGCCAAGGGCATGGGCACCTCCAGGGTGAGAGGAGACCTTGCAGTCCAGTAACCCTCGCCCCATATCCCACAGAACAGGCAGACTGTCCCGGGGTCCTACTGTGTGCCAGCGCTGCCCAACCCCTTCCCAGTCAGGGTCTGCCAGGCCTTCAAGCTCCCATTTTACAGTCAGGACACTGAGGCCTGTGGAGATTAATTGGCTTGCCCAAGGTCACCATCAGCTGGTGAGGGGCGGGGCGGCTGGCATCTGACCCAGGCTGCCCACGGAGGCAGCCCGTTGGGATCCGCCTGGAGAGAATCCAGGGGTCCAGGGTGCGTTTAGGGAAAGCCAGCGGCAGGTGGAGAGTCTGCGTGGGGAAGGGTCGCCGGGCAGGGAGGGACGCCTGGCGCACGGAGTAGCCAGTGGGTGCTTGTTTGTGAATGAATGCATGGGTGGATGGATGAGTGCCCAAAGGAGGGGTGCTGTGAGAGGCGGCACGGGGAGGGAGAACCCCTTTCTTCCCCCTCCCGCTTCCCTCCGCGAGCTGGAGGCTGGCTTTGGGAGTCTCCCTCCCCCCACTCCCTAGGGGGGCCGGGTCCCCA